TGCGGGACCCGGAGTCCTGCGGCTGCGGCTCACCGGGGCCCAGGGCCTCCTCCTCCCGCCTCTTAAAGGGAGCTTGCGCCTTCTTCTCCTCCGCCGCCGCCCCTGCCGCCTTTTTGAAAGTCCTGTCCGATGGGGGGTGGCGCTCCTTTTTAGCTTCTTGTGGCTGGGGGCGCGCGCCTCGCCCTCCGCCGCCTCTCCCGACTTGATCTTCACCGCCTGCATGCCGTTCTCCATGTACTTGCTCATCACGATCACGATGCGCCCGTTCTTGTTCTTGTTCTTGACGATCTTCATCTTGCCCCCGATCCCGTTGCCCGTCACCGCCTCCTTGGGGGCGGGCGTCATGCCGTTGTTTTTTTTGGCTTCACGGCTCCCAGGTAGCCCTTGGCCCCCGCCCCGTGGGCCCACTTGTCTGGCGTGTGGCTCTTGGCACCCAGGTCCGGGCAGGTGGGGCTGGGCGCCTCCTTGTGGCCGCCCTGGTACTGCAGGTCGTACATCTTGGGGTCCGGCTGGTAGGGGTGGTGCTTCTTGCTGTTGAGCTGGTAGTAGTACTTGCTGCTCTTGCTGGGCGGCGGGGGCTTGCCCGCCCGCTCCTTGCTGTGCGGCTGGTACTGGTGATGCTTCTTGCTGTTGAGCTCGTACTGGTGCCCCTGGCCCTTGCCCTGGGCGCCCAGGTCCAGCTTGGCGCTGCGGTTGTCCGGGGAGGAGTCCTGGAGTCCGCTCAGCACGTTGGAGCGCCTGGCAAAGGTAGGCACCTGGGGGACGGGGCGGGCGGAGGGCAAGGTGAGCGGAGGGCTAAGACCAGCTTCCGGCATCAGGAGCATCCCAGCCCCCACCCAGAGGGGGTGAAAGGTCAGGCAGGCAGGGAGAGAATGGGGTGCTCAGGAAGAGACACCACCCCCCCGCCCCAGGCCTGGAAGCAGCTCAGGTGACAACTTAAAGGGAAAGACAAGGGCGTTCTCACCTGCACCACCAGCGGCTTGGGCTTCGGGCCTCTCTTGCGATATCCCATCAGCTGCTCCTGCCGCTCCCTGAGGGCGGGAGAGAGGGCGGCGCTGTGAGCCTCGGTCACCTCCCTCCAACCTGCGGGGCGTCCACCCTCCCCAGAGCAGCAGGGCCGCCAAGGCCCAGAGGGATCAGAGCTCCAGGCAAAAGGTCGCCCCTGCAGCCAGCTGGGCGCCAGCCTGGTCCCAGAGCCCCGCTTTCCACTCGCAGGGACCCTCACCTGCCCAAGGGGGCCTCCGCCTGAGAGGCTCCCCCCTCTGAGGTCCCCACCTGAACTGCCGCCCCCACAGCCCTGCCTCCGGCGCGGGAGATGCCAGTGACGCCCTCAGCCTTAGGCCGGCGCCCTGCGCAGAGCGGAGTGGGCACGGGGTCCAGGGATGCAAACGAGGCCCCAAAGGAGGAGTTTGAGGACCACGTCCCTCTGCAGAGGCGCGGGGCGCTGATGACCTCATTAGGGTTCAGGTGACCAGCGCGGCCAGCGGCGGGAGGGAGGGCCGGTGACCTGCAGGCCGGGCGCTAACCCGCTGGAGGGGCTGG